ATAGACAAGAGCAAGGTAGCTTAATGGGGTTATATATATGTACGGGGGGTGTAAACAGATTCCGTAATCTATTAAGGACCTCCATTCCAATTATCGTTATGCTTGTTTGGTAAAAAAAACCTAGCTTTAAAAATAATTTATTTAAAAATTAGATCACATATCTACTTTTAGATTAAGGCTTAGTCTGATAAGCTCCTATGCTGGTCTATTTTATTTAAAATCATATTATATAATTTTAAATAAAATATTTAATTATTATGTGATTTATGTTAGTAAAAAATAACATTTCAGTTGATTTTTTTTTCTTATGATCCTTTATCTTTTTAAATCATAGTCTTCTTTCTTTAATCATGATCTTGCGGAATTTTTCATAGGCCTGAAAGATCTTATAAACTAAATAGGCTTGGAAATTTGAAAATTTATTAGAATTTACTTGTGAATATCTATAACAAACACTTGGGAATATTGGTTTGAATTTCAATTATACATAACAATGTTATTTAGATTTAAAAGGTCATATCCTAGTTTTTTTACTCATTCTTATTTAGATTTAATAGGTTTGAATTTCAATTATAACAATGTTATTGGGGAGTGGATGAATTCATGTATACTAATGTGAAAAAATTTTATTTATACCTTTCCTTATAACTATTAAATGAATGAGATCCTATAAATATTTGTGAAAATTTATAAATACAGTTATAAACACAAAATTTTCAAATGATCCGTTCGTGTAAAATTTATTCATGAAGGATCCATTCTTATATTTCTCCAAAAGAAAATTCGTAAAAAAGAGGACTAAAACAGCACAAAGGAAAAAGAAAAAAGAAAAAAGAAAAAAACAAAACAAAACAAAAAGGACTACCCTAATGATCAGAGTCCCATAGAAGAAGGCTTAACTAGAGTCATTAGCAAGAGCCTGGTGGAAATTTACATTGGCCAAGTAGTCTGCAATAGCATTCCCTTCCCTCAAAAAAGTTTTGTATCTCACACGCTTAAACAGCTCCCTACGATGTTGAAGAAGCAAACAATTAATGCTCTTTACCATCACACGGAATTTCCATTTTTCACCAAACCCTCCATTCGACATTTCAACATAGCTCGCTTAGTTAAGCCAACCCCAGATCCAGCAATGGCTCCTCAAATCATAAAAGGGTTAATTATCTATTTTTTTAAAAGACATAAGTTATGTTCTTTTAGTTTTTAACATTATGTCTTATCAGTAAGATATAATTATAATATATAAAAAAAAAAATTCTCTTTCCATGTCAGTTGAAGTGAAAGAGGAGAGAAAAAAAAAACAATTTTTCATATTGTAATTATATTTTACTGATAAGATACAATGTTAAACATTAAAATTTAAAAAGACATAAGATTGTATCATTTAAAAGTTATACAAAATATGTTATCAAAAAAAAAAAAAAGTTATACAAAATAAGTTGCGTCACCCTATAATCACTTTCATATCGATAGGCAATCCTTCCAAAAGTGTGTGTCCAAAAAAATAATAGTAAATGTAAATAATTTATTAATATGCAAATTGTATACTCTAGAAATTTGATTGGTATAAGTGTTTTCTATTTTTATTTTTTTATCTTATTAGCATATCCAAGTGTTTTTTATAACGAACTATGGGTTTTATAAGAGTTACGTTGTAGGAAAAGTGGAGTGGTCATATTATAGAGATTCGTATTCCGTGCCGTAGTTTTTTTTTTTTGCTTCAAAAAATGTGGGGTTCACAAAATATTTTGTGTGTAAGAAATTTCCTCTTTTTCCTATTGCATGATAGATGCAAATCCCATTAACTATTTATTGATGATGAAATCAATGAAATTATAAAATATATACTAATACAAATTTTTGGAAACAAATTGTACGTACTTTTGCTAGGTAAATCAAATTGGTGTTAGAAAATGATTGAATAAAAAAATTGTTATTAACAATAAATTAAAAAGCCACTAGTATTGATTTAGTGGTAAGAGATTTAAATATGTTGTATTAGGTTGTGTGTTTAAATCCTACCAATGTATCCAAAAAAAAAAAATAGAGACAGGATCCCAACTGCATATCATCATTAATTAACTAAGCGAAATTATAAAAGCAAATCGCATTTAGTGTTATACATGGCTAATTACTGGAAGTGAATCTTTTCACGTGGAAAAGTAGTCATGTGATCATGTTATTTAATCACAACCACTTATTGGTGATGAGATAAAAGAGAGAAAAATGTATAATTTTTAAATGAGTGGTTGTGATAGTGGTTATGATCAAATGATCACAACCAATATGACCACATAACCATTTTTTTACCTGAGATGATCAATTCCCCTGATCACTGGACATGCATTTAATTATAACATAAATGTCACTTGGACTTGGCCAAGGGGTGAGTGAAAATTGAGATTAAGATAGTAGTGTCAATTGTCAAATCCCTTGATTAAAATAACAGCGTGGAAGATATAGATTGATCACCAGTATACAATAAGTGATACAGGATTAGGCATGAAATATGCTGGCTGGCTCCCGAATGGCCACTTTGACCCCGGACCATGCGGACACTTGTCTCAATTGATAACAGAAAAAATGTTTTTGATAGTGACTCAGCCACAGCACCAATCACTAATCCAAATTTGTAAGCCAAGCAAAGCTCACATATTCACATTGCACATGTTATAGACAAAGACAAAAGAGATATAGAAAGAAATTGTATCATAGATTATTAGGTAGTGGAAAACAATTGAATTCACTAAAAATGTGGGCAGCAGAAGACAGGCAAGTCCTCAAAACCCGGACAAGAGTTAAAAATGCTTTTACACTAAGCAATCAGAATGCACAAAGGAAAAATGCCTTAAAAAAAAAACAAAGGCAAAAAAGGTTGCATACTGATCAAGTTATTCTGTAAGGAATAAAGAAAAAGGAAAGGATTTGAGATTGGCTGAGAGTTCGGCGGGAGCGTGTTCGCATTTGAGGGTTGATTCCCTTCAAATCTACAGTAAAAAGAAAAAGGACTAGTTTTAAACTTGAACTAATAATTGAGGACTCAAAAAAAAACCCCACTAAGTTCCAAATTTTGCAACATAAAGCAACCAAAGGTGGCAGCTGGCTACTAAAAAACCTTTTTCTTTACTTCATTGCCATATACTTTGCCAAAACGGTCAAACTTTGTTTTAGAAAGCCATTGCAGAGTGTAGTTTGCGGTCAGAAAAACGAATCATTCCTCACGTTCGCTGCCCATATCTTTAATTTATTTATTTATTATTACTTCATGATCATCTTTCGCACTTATCTCTTTGTATTCTTGTTTCCTAATTCTCTTTTTACTTTAGTTGTGTAATTGCTTAAATTATTCTTCTTTCATTCTGAGTTTGGAGAAAGGTCCTGTGTCTGATCCTACATGATTTGGGACATATATCAAAATGTGGGCCCAACTAAGGATTCACAATACGTGCGGTTTGATTACGATTCTATTACAAAAGAATAGCTCTCACAAGTGAATCAGAGGGTTGTTAGATCCCCATTTTTTTAAGCCAAAAAATATTTTCTTTTGGCGTTTTTCTAACTTTATTCTAGAATTTTATTAAATATATGATAACAGAATAACAGTGTAGTACGTATACTCGGATTCACTGCGAGTATTCAAACACAATTTTGTGTCATGCTTAACAAAATAAAGAAAGCAAAAATAGGTTATATTTACAAATTTTTTGTTTATAAATTTTTATAAATTATATTATGTATTATGAAGAATACATTCCAGAAAAATATATAGTATAATTTATAAGAATTTGTAAAAAAAAATTTATAAACATAACTCTCTTCAAAATAGTATAAGTTATAATTAAGGAGGTAGGATGAAGACGGTGCATCCACATGAGGGTCAAACCTTGAAATGAGATCGCACGTGGTGTCTTGAGAGGTTTACCGTCTATGAAAAAAGATCTACCACCGCAGCACGTGACTTGGTAACAATGGCTCTGTTTCCAAGTGCAATTTCAGGCACAAGACGTAAATGGCGGTGGAAGTGGTGCTGGAGTTAAAAAAAAAAACCACGTGATGCGAGTGCCTGCCATCTTCCACTAGCACTTTCTAATTTGCATCCTTCTGTAATAATTATTCACATTCACAAAGTCCTATAGTTTCTAAGTTTCTATGGATTTTCAGCTTAGTATGTGTTCTTTTATCGTACTTACTACATTGCTTCATGATATCGCATAATTACAATTGGAGCAAAACGCCCTTAGTGTTTTTGAACTTTAGATACCGCTCCACGCAGAACTATTGTCCTCTGCTATCTCTGTTTACTGTCATTTTATGGAATATAAACATTTCAAGAGAAAAGCTGTATATTTTTGAAACATGAGCTAAAACAGTTGAATAACACGTGTGTTTTACTGAAGTATCTGTATCTATTTTCAAACCAGTGTACATGCTTCAAAGCTTAGCTAAATACGTGCTATCTTGAAGTTGTCATCAATTTAGTATTAGGTAGGCCAATGAATTTCGAAGCACAATCGTATCAAGTAGGGCCCAATACTCGGCCCATAGATGGATCTTAATAAAACCGTTCTAGAATACCATGCAATTAAGCCTATTGAGCATCCTCAGTCCTTATCACAAGATAAGTAGAAGTAGATAACTGCGGGCCAGTTTGGATGAATGCTTTTTTTTTTATAAATATAAGTGTATTTTATTTCATGTGTATTTGGATGCAACTTTTAAAAAAGACAAAAAAAAACAGATAAAAAACACTGAAATAATATTATTTGGTAGCCAAAATTTCTGGATTTAAAAAAAAAAGACAAAATACTGTTTTTTTATTTAAAAGTAATTTCAAATATCAATCTAAACGCAAAATAATTCTAGCTTTAAAAAAAATCCTTTATAAAAAAATACGCATGAGAAGTGTCTTTTTTTTATATATAAAACTCATCCAAAAGGTCCTACATGCGACAGCTGACTAGTGTAGCGATAAGCCCTTAAAACTGGTAAATCTTCATCTGTCGGTCAAAAGCCCTTGCACAGTAGATTCATTCCATATCATATTATATTTGTCACCGATTCGTACTTTAATATATTAGTTATCAAGAGTAGAAAAATAAGTTGATCAAAATCCAGTAGAACTGCTGCTTTGCTTATGTCCACATATGTAACATCACTAGAATGCATAGAAAGTTACGCAGAGTTGAGCATACTCTGGCGAGATTGATGTCTTTATCCATCAAGATGTCAACCATTGATGATTGACTTATAGTGATCACCTATAGCTTCATAAATGGCACCTTCCTCTATAAGATTTTTAATAGCCAGCCTGCAAAACCAGAATCAGAGTCAACAAAATTTAGATAGCGTGAGAAGGGGAGGGAGGGAGAGAGGAGAGAGGAAAGACAGACATGAGCTTATCCAAAGGAATTCCAAGATGCTGCGCAATAAGATCACGAGGGACTCCCTCATCCCTTGCCCTGAAACATCAGTATCATAAAGCTTATAAGCTGTGAATCCTGGACAAAATCTTGCAAGTTTATCGTTACAAATCTACCAAGGAACACACATACATAATAGTATGATTAAAGAACTGAAGAGAAATAAAAAAAGGTTAATAAATGCAATATTCTACACATGAATCTGAAAAGCCAAAAAGTGGAAACTTTGTTATAAGTAAGCTCGTGTGTAGTTCTGTATGATAGGGATTGTATTAACCTTGCAATAAATCTTCAAGTTATCTGTCCCGAAAATTTTAGTTGCTTCTTTCTTAATTGTAAGAATATATGCCATTGTAAAATTTCTTCTAGTTGAGTTGTGGAATCTGTTCAATTTTAAAATTAAATGTGGAAGATCCAACATTCTAAACGAGGCGAACCGGAACAGTGGTAAAGTTGTTCCTTCATGAAAGGTCACGGGTTCGAATCCAGGAAACAACCTCTTTTCAATTATGCAAGGGTAAGGCTGCGTACAAACATTACCTCCACCTCACACTCACTAGTCCTGTTTAACAAGGAGTGGTTATAACAACAAAAGTACCCATACGGTTACAATTCTCCAACCCCCATCAGAACTCATGGATATAAGCAAGTCATGCGACAAAACTAACTATTTGCTCATTCACATTACAGGCTCAAGATGGAAGTTTAGCAACTTGTGCATTGTATAATCACTAGACATGAACCATTCCTTAACATGCAGACATATCTCATATACTTCCAGAATACCCACAGAATTTCATGCACTTACTCTCTGTATATTGATCAAAAAAATATCTTTTTACCATCTTTCAGCAAATCAAATAACTAGAAAATTCCTTACTTGTCACGCGGGCTAGGGTGAGCCTATGGAGGGGGACCAACATCAATGGGCTAAGCTACTCCAATCTCAGCAAGTGGATCTGATACCATATCTCAACTCAAAAACCTTGAGGTATTGGATTTATAAGTCCTTTCACTTATATGTTCTATGTTTAGCCCATTCATTTCCAATGTGGACCTTTTGATCACTCACATTTGAATTTCATACAATCCCCCTTTCAAGTGCAAGTCCTACGATTGTCAACTCCCCCTCAAGCAAAAGTTTCTTCAAGTATTGATGGGGTTTGCACAGCCTATAAACCCGAATACAAACTACCATCTCCAAATACTCGGTACACCTAGGCTAATCAACCATTGGCTCTGATATCACTATTGGCAGCGGCCAAGGGGAGCCCAATTAGGGAAGACTACTATCCACACATCAAACAGGTCTAAGCGACAAACTCACAACAAGTGGATCCAACATCATGTCTCAACCCAAAAACCTTAAGACATTGGGTTTATGGATCCTTTCACTTATATGAGCTATACTTAGCTCATTTCTTTCCAATGTGGGATTTTTTATCTCTCACACTTGAATTTCTAACACTACTACTACATCAGACAATGCTTAGATGTTGCAATATCTAAGAACGGTATGTATGCACATTGTTATACAAGTAGGAAGCCGAAATGTTTGAAGTTGCAGATTTTTTTCATCAAATCAAGTTGGCAAATTTTGAATCAAATTTGAAAGCCAACAAGTTTGACCAAAGTTGATCTTATCATTACTAGTTGGCAACCATTTAATGTTGTAGTTATCAAATTGAGATTCTCATCCTCCCACCTCCTTAAATCAACTACATATAGGGGTTATGGTTCATTTGGTTAAAGCAATGTGAGAGAAGCAATATTAGTTGCTCGTGTATTCGTGAGAATTAAAACGCTCCTTTTCCTATAGTTTCTATTTTGTACCCAATATTATCCTTGTGAGAATTATTGGGTGTATTGGAGTTTGGGGTTTGAGTGTTAAAAATTTATTTTCTATTTTATTTTCTCTATCTCATATTTAACTTTAAACTGATCCCTTTCATAACACACAGCCATGCATATTTACATCAGAAGTGCAAACTCACATGAATAAACCAACAATCAGGAAAAACAAAGGCACGGACAGGGAATTAGTAATGGGTTCGATAAGAGCAACTCAGATAACCAAAACAAAATTCCTTTTATAAAAATCACCTGTTTGCGGGAAGATGCAAAACCTCTAAGACCATATCTTCAACACTCTTCTGACCATTGTTATGTTGACCGGAGAACTACAAAGAAAAAGTAGCAAACGAATGACGACACCAATAAAATTGTAGCAAAAACTGAAAACCATGGTTCACTCTCTTACTTGATTTGGTGGGACAGCTGGAGCTTGATAACCTTTTGTGGGAGTAATTGGTGCAGAATTAGTAACATGTTGCTGACTTGGGACGCCAGCCTGAAGATGTTACCATATTAAATATTAGAATACACACACGAATGAGCATATGATACAGACTAGTTAAAATTCAAAACCATATATACACATCATATCATGTCAAATTCAAAAAAAAATAAAAAATTAATTTTATAACATATACCCGTAACCTGGAATTATAGAGATGGACATATATGCAATCAATGAAATGGCTGGCAATTTCGTTAAAGTCAGTCACAGGCCTGAAAATGATTACAAGTAAAGGGATTGAAGTAAAATATTGAACTGTGAGCAAAATAACAGGCCTGTCCGGCCAATCACTTACACAACAGGATAACTAGCCTTTGTTAATAGTTATAACAAAGATAGATATCCAAGACAATTTAAAAATATTGAACTGTTACAGTAAAAGGTGAAAGGTAAACTTCATATCATACCTAAAAGAGAAAACATTTAAGGTCCTTTTACCCTGAAAACCTTTCAAGTGTCCATGGAGCCGCACATACATTCCATCCCTAACAATGAAACTACAATTTAGTAACTACGTACTATATGAAATAGATATTGTCTGAAAAAAGAAGAAAATACAGAGGTGGCAAGAACAACATTACAAATGACCTCAATGCAAAATGATCAGTTGCATGTATGTGTGTATTTTCCGGCAGGATGATAAATAAAATAATAGAAAGATAAAAAGAAAGAATGCGTGCCATATCATATATTTCTGTTTCTTTTTCTTTAATGAAAAAATTCTATTTCAGCAGTAACGCGTAATTTGAAACATTTCATTTCCTTCCTCAATCAACCCAGTAAAAACTAGAATACTAAGAAGAAGAATCTGATGATAAAACTTGAAAATGTGACTAAAATGAGTAACATGGCTTGTCATTCTTCCCTATATCTACGGATAAAAAGTTAAAAACCCAGTGTAGTGTCACGTTAAGTATTAAATGCAAAATGGAAGATCTACGTAGGAAATGCAATATAATAGCATACAAGAGTCCCTCCACTTCATTTGTATCTACAGCTTCCTGAAGCCTGCACATAAACAAGAATTCATCATTAATAAAAGGAAATGGTATTAAAAAGAAAAAAAAAATGTTGACAAGATAAGACAAATTTAACAATATTCACCATTTACTACACTCAATCCTTCCAGTACCATCATCAAGTACAAAAGTAACATCAGTAATCCTTCCAGCTTTATTGCATATCCTTCCTACAAGAGTAACCTGGACTCAAATTGTAAGAACAAGAGAACTCGCAAAACATAACGAATTCACAAGCTAAGACTTAAGGAACGCACATTGTTAACGTCCACACCATCAATAATCAAATTGGTTTTATCATCACTTGAATGAAACGCATCGTTTATTTGCTTGACTGTCAGAGGAAGCAAGGACTGGGCATCACGATTCTGCAAAAAAAGAAAAAACAAATAAACAAATAAATAGACCATAGAATCATCAATTTCATCTTAATTTCTCAAATCACTTGCAATTATAAGAAGAGCAAACCAAAACCCTAAACCCTAGAGTCTAGTTAGTGTTGCTGCTACGTGTGGTTATGGTGAAAAGGAAAAGGTAGGGAAAACGAAAAGGAAAAAGGAGTGTAAGAAAGAGAAGGACCTTGGAAGATAGGAAGGAAGTGTCAGGGCCCGGAGTAGCCTGTGAGGGCATGAATCCGCCGCCGGAGAAGGCTGCGTTTCCGTCGAACTGGCTCGAATACATGCTTCTTCTTCTTCTTCTTCTTCTCTTCTCTGAGTCGAGTTTTGGAAACGAAATGCAGAGACTGTGATGACAAATTTGAAATTTCACAATTTGCTATTGTCCATAGCCATGGACACTGTAAGTTTGTAACTGCTACAAATATACAAATCCTGTGTGTGTGGGCTTTTTTTTTTTCCTCTTTAGGATGAAAATAATTAGTTTCCCGCCATTTTATTTTTTTTTCCCTCACTGACCTTTGTGTGTATAAAGAAAGTAACATTGAGCTTGTTATAAAAAAAAAAAAAAAAAAGTAACATTGAGCTTATCTATTGATAGACAAAAGGAAACAGTTAGGGGTGTAAATGGGCCAGGCTGGCCCAGCCCGGCCTACATTGAGCCCAGCCCAGGCCCAGCCTTTCAGAAAAGTAGAGTAGGCTTAGGCTTACAAAATAACTTTTTTAATAAATAGGCCATAGGCCAATTTTGTCAAGCCCGGCCTACAGCCTTGTAGGCTGGCCTATTTAATTTATTAAAATAAAATAATAAAATAATATTTATTTTATGTGGCAAAGACACAAAGTGCCAAATACCAATATCTCTTACTTTTTGTGCTATTTTATTTTATGAAAGGAAAACTTGTCTAATGTCTCCAAATTTTACATGTTGTTGCAACTTAATACCATGGAACAATGGGTACCTTGCTGGATTATGATGTTACTGATGAAGATCTTTCAATAATACTCTTCTTTCCCTTGTCTTGTTGGTGGTTTAAAGATTTTTAGATGAATGACATTCTCTTGTAGACTTTATTTCAGCATCTAGTAATTGTATTTTTCTTATTTTTCCCATTTCTTTGACTCTATTCCTCTATGATATACATTCTAGAGCTGAGGTATTATGTTGACTCTTTCTTGTTTGTCATTTTTTTCTTATGAGAAGTACTAGTGCATGCATGAATGGAACTTTCTTTGCTCTATACAATTATTTTTTTTGCTTTGTATATATAGTGGGAGGCCTACAAGGCCTGTAGGCCATGTCAGGCTTTCTTATTTTTGAAAATGGGCCGGGCTTGGCCTACAAATAAAGCCTTTAATAGGCCAGTAGGCCAGATAGGCTAAATTTTTTTTGACGTAGGCTTGGGCCAGGATGGCCAAAGCCCAGCCCAGCCCATTTACACCCCTAGAAACAGTACTATCATTTCATATAAGATAGTTATCTCATTTTAAAAATTGCACCTTTTTTTTTTTTTTTTTTTAATGGTGGACTGGACCCCATTTGGATTCTTTCTATAGCATAAGAGAGCTATTTTCGTGCAACATGAGACTAATATTTCTCGTAGATAAAAAGAACAAAAGAAAAAAATATAATAATAGATATAAAATAAAATGTTCATTTATAGTTTCGTACTTTCATTACCTTACTGGAAATTGGTAATATTATTTTTACAGAAAATGTTAAGTAACTAATAATTAGATTGGATAATGGTCGAGCATTTGACAAATGGGAGGGAAAAAATCCTCGTGTTTGAAATGGTAAAAATAATAAACAAATATAAATTTTAAATTTCTATAGCTTTTTATTGTTTATGTTTAGAAATCATATCAACTAAAGAAAGATTGATTTTTAATAATTTAATTTAGGAAAAAGTTCACCAATGCTCCTATGGTTTACTCCAGAATCATTTATGTCCCTGTGATTTTTTTTCAATTACATATGCCCCTGTGCTTTGTAAAAACTAAGAAACCACAGGAGCATATGTGATAAAAAAACATACCCTTTTACAAACCACATGGGCTGATGGGCATATGTGATAAGAAAAAAATCACAGGGGCATAAGTGATTCTGAAGTAAACCACATGGGCATTGGTGAACTTTTCCCTTTAATTTAAAATAAATAAGCTATTTTAGTCTTATTAATTATTTTATTTTACCATCCGTATAGGTAAAAATGTAGAATAATAAATTTAAATTAAATTATACATAAAATTTTAAATCAAATTAATTTCATTTTTAATGAGTTCCAAACATAATTTGTAAATCATTTCGAAATTTAATCTATAATGAATTCTAAACATATATTTTAATTTCTAAATTTAATGAAATTGATTTAAATAAAATTAAATCAAATTAGTTTTTATTTAGTTGATTCCAAACACAAGTAATATGTTTGTTCAAAATTTAGGACAAAATTGAGGAGCCATTATATGAAATCTATTAAATTATTAGAATCATTGCGAAAATTGAAACTTAAAGGAGTTTCTTTGCAAATATTTCAAAACTGAAGAGCATGCGTCTTAGTATCATTAATAATATATTATTACACGTGGCGGATTATATTTTCAAACTTTTTATTTATAAATTACATTATGTACTTTCGAAAGTACACTAGATTACACTATATATTTCTGGGAGTACATCATGTAATTTACAAAAATTTGTAAACGGATTTTTTCTATTATTACATAAGGAGGACTTTTAATTTTAAATTCTTTTAAAAAAAATACCATTACTAATTTCAATCTTTTGGTAGTTTTATGCTATTTGGATGCTCAAAAACCAGCACAAAGTGAAAGAAAAAAATGGGTATAAAATAATTATAGTTTACTATAATTTCTGACATTTATTTGTTTAGCTTTATGGTGCTTGATAATTGAAGTAGATATATAGGTATATAGTGATGTGGGTATTATGGAGCTTAATGTTGTTAGTTTTAGGTATTTACCTAATTTGGGTTCTATGAGCTCCCCCCCTATTTTTTTTGAACATGTTTTGGTTCTGTGATTATATTTGTTATTAAAATTATTTAAGCTGTTATAAAAAAAAAAAAAAAAAATTTATTTAAGCATCTGTTGAGACTGTTGGTACATGTTTTCTGGTTTTAGATTATGATTGTTCTACTTTTCATTGTTAACATAGACACACTTGTTAAACTATATCTTATCTGAAATTCTGTAAGTTGGATTTGTTAAAAAAAGTTGACGAATTGAACCATCCACAAAATTATCTTTTACTCAATTTCCGACTAGTTTGAAAAGAATACGGATGTATAATTCTTCTGCTATGTGCCGTCAGTTAAATATTAGGATGTTCACCAAAGGCAACATTGAACTAGTCATGGTGTGAAGGTTTAATGGTTTAGAACTACATAACATGTCAAATGTCATATTCAGATACATACATGTCCAATGCATTATCAGATAAGCTACATTATATATGCCATTACACGTTACACCCCGCCACTGAATTAGTGAAGCCCAATCGCAGTCAAGGATTTTCTTGAAGTCGGTGCGAACAAAAGTGGTCGTGTCTCTTAAGGCATGGATAGACTTGAACTAGTTTATACAACAAAAGGGCCAAATCTTCCGCAGTTAGGTTAACTGTTCCCAAATCAAACTCACAAACAAGTTATATTAAATTTACATGCAAGGTATTTGATAGACAATTACATGTCAAAAGTCAACTTCATTCCTACAATCACGAAATAGTAGCTAGTAGCGTCTGCATTCGCTCAAATTCAATGAATGAAACATTAGGTAATTTCCAAAGAAATTAAATTTGCTTTCTTTGCAATTGAGAAAAGTTATCAATTTTCCAAACAAAGCTGGAGGGTCTTGAGTAGTGAAGATACATGGTAGATGGGCTTTAGCTGTCATATATTGGAGATTAATCAATTAATAGATTATTGATTACTCGGCTAATTTGATTTAAGCCGGCGAAGGGCTTCAAAATTCTTCCTATCAAATTTTTAATACAATTGTATACCCAAAACTAGTCACATATTAATTCAACAGAAGTTTACCAAAAAAAAAAACAATTTAACAGAAAAGTCTTTGTTTGCTGACAACTGTAACCCCAGTATGTCTGCCTTGAGCGACCCTGCCTCACATAGCACAGGCCAATAATATGGTCCATCTCAATATCAAGCCCTTCAATTCATAAAATTGAAAACAATGCAGCAACATATGTTGTCTGAGAAGCTAAGATGGAGGCCAAGTCTTACGGGTCTGGTCATTGCACATGCAGTAGAGGCCGGCCAACTTACAATATAATAGGTTTATGGTAGCCTTAAAAAGAACGACACTTTCCAATTTGCTTTACAACTTGTTTCCTTGTCAATACAAAAAAGACTTGAAGTCACTCAAACTTGAAGTAACAGAAAATGATCAATCAATCTAACTAACAAGAATATTGAGTGTTTCTATGACTTATTAATGGTCAAAACGCCATATATAACATGTAACAAATACTCCATCGATCGGCTAAGGACCCGGATAGTAGAATCCTATATAAACACACACAACTTTCACTGCTTCATCTACACCATAGTCCAAGATTCTAAGTTGGAAAAAGCTATGATGGATTTTAAGAATCAAAACGACAAGTCATTGAGCAATATTCTTTCAAGAAAATCCTCCGTGGGATGCTCCTCTCGTATCTCTTACTATCGGAGTGGGGAAGGGGTTCCATTCAAATGGGAAATGCAACCAGGGGTAGCAAAAGAACCACAAAAGGAAGAGCTTCCACCGCTCACTCCCCCGCCAGCACTTCTCAGCCGGGGGCTCCCCAAGCCATGCATTCCGGACCCCAAACCTTCAACCCGGTCAAGGCTGCGGTTTTGGAAGAAAAGGGTAGAACGTGGAAAAAGCAAGAAACCCCAAGATTGTTTTAATGAAGATGCTATTGATTTCGATATATTAGCAAGATTAGATTGTAGCTCTGATTCTGAATCTATGGCATCGCCTCGAGGTTCAAGTTTTTCTTCTTCGTCTTCTATGTCATTCACCAAGAGTCGTCCTTTGTTGCAATCAGCATGCTCAGAGAGTCCTATCAGAGAAGTATATGGAACGCCCTTGACCTTAGGTTGCTTCCCCATGCGTTTTAGCAGAGTTCTCGTTTCAATTGCAAGGCGTTATTGAAATAACATACATGGGACTCAGTTCTATTTTACTTGTACATTAAAATAATACTTGCACGCATTTCTATGCACATTAGCTTACGTTTGCACGTATCATTTAATCACAACTTATCTCATCCCAGCTTATGTGCACCTTGATTCCGACGCTGCCACTTTAACTGATGTGAAAAGGTGTAATTACAACTGATGTGTAACAATCATTATTCTTTGCATTATGCCGTGCATGTAAAAAATTCGCTTACTCTAGTCAAGAATACTCCAGGTATTAGATAAAATGGCTTTCAACCGTTATTTTGATTTACATAAATCCCTATTGCATATTCTAGCTTAGATACGTACTGTGCTAACAGATGGAAACCATAACATCCCACTTACAAATATATGATGCTAAATGTGGACAGCGTTAAATCTAAGAGAAAGGATATTATTTCAAAACTTACGATCTTTTGCCTGGCCGAAGTTGTCCAAGTTGTCCTGTTGTTCATTTACGTAGGAAGTTACAGAAGCATTTAAGTGGATAATCAATTAACCAAAAAAAATTTGTTAAACAGGACTACAGGAGGGTAACATAGAAATTGCTCAAAGTATTATTAAAATTATGAGAAAGTTATTTATGCACTATGTTGGTCACGTGCATGATCCTAGGTCGCTCTCTTTGGCTAGGCTGTCCGCAAAAGATTTGAATCTAGTTCTCGTGATCCCGACCAATCTTAAATGCTATGTAGTTTGAATAGTCATTGTGACATAAATATCTTCTCTTTCTTTTAGAAGCAGTTCCAAGGATACAATAACACTAATTACAACATCATACTATATTACAATGACATTCGACCATACGCGGGCCTGTTACAAGATTAGTAACACAGGCTAAGGCGTGCTGTCCGTGCATGTTAAACTACGGAGCCAACTTAACTGATCATGGCAAGCATCAAACGTGAGTGCCCTCAGCTTTGTTAGTTACATACTGCCTGTAAATCAAGAAATAACAATATCACAACGCAGGTATCATCAATGTGATCGATTGAGAAGCAACAACAAATTTACTGCTAAGTGGGTCGTAATGACAACAGTAATTTTACCTAATTTGATATTACAAGCTGCCAATTACCAGCATGATTATACATTACAAAGATTTCAACTTCGAGATTGAATCTCACAATCATACGTTAATCAACATTTCAAGTCGGGAGAATGACAGTATTCACTATGTACAAGAATCAGCAACGGAGATGACATAAAAGGTTAATGCTAAATGCCATCATGATCACCACCTCCCTTTCTACACCAACACTTGCTACCACTATCAACATCAGAGACACAGACCATGCCAACATCAATACTTTGATCCCTTCTGCTTCCAGTAGAGGATTAATAATTTCCAGTTCTATAATTGCATGATTTGTTATGATAGAAGTTCTTTTCTACTGTCCTTTACAGTTCTATAATTTCCAGTAGTGACAATTTAGCTTCATAATTTCAGGTAAGGGATCAGTTTTATCCTCAAAATCATGTCTCAGAAGGTGCTTAATTGAGTTACTCCCACAAAAGGGAAACCAGTGAGTTTTAAGCACATCAACCCATTTTGAAGATATTTTCATCACAAAATATTAAATTTTTATTACACACGCAGAGACAGAAATGAGAAGAAAGAAATAATCAGCTCAACCTGAAAATGGAGAAAAACTAACACAAATTCCATCAGGTCCTACCATGCCAACCAAATCGTATGAACTTATGAGCTACTGACAAATGCTCTTCGTCCTTGGTAAGTTGCAATCTTACAAACAAAATTGATTAGTCCTATGGCCTCGGTAGACATACCTAAAGTTGAAATTTTTATACAAGACTGAGACCCACTGGAAAATTCTAACTTCCCAGTTGCCTAAGCGAAAACAAAAGACAAAGGATATATAAAATATCAGATGCTATAGGAGACGGTTTTTTACTAATGAATCGATATTCAAAATCATTCCATTCTGATGTCCTCCTAAATGAAAACAACAAAATCTATCTCAATTAGCAATTTACAAAACAGGGACTCATAGATTGGATATTCGTGCAAGGAGAAATTCCACAAGTTTGTTTGAGGCCCTAATCACTTTACAAAGTAAAGTATACCTCACTAAAAATATTTCTCCTAAGCTACTTCTGAACCAACCACAGCAAATCCACATATTCACACTAGAAAAAACCTTCAGGGGGTGTTTGGTAAGAGATTTATTTTGGGATTGATGAGGAAGTGTGAGTGGATATCAAGTATTACCATGTTTGGTATAAGTTTTTCAAAAACTTCCCTAGTAAAATAAGATGCATAGGAAAGGTTAGTTGTGTGGAAAATGGGATGAAAATCACTATTTCAAAGTACCACTTTGCATGTGGTATTTTGTGATGAATGGGGAAGTGAAAAGTTGAACTCCAATCTCTTGACAAAAATGACCTTCCATTGTGTACAGATGTCCGTCTTGTGAACCTCTCTTATTTACAGTTGTAACTCCCTTTTTTACTGTTCCTCTCTTTCACTCTCTATTCATAGCCTATTTTGATGTTTTCTGGTTCTATATATATTCTATACGCACAGATTTCATTTTGAAAGCGTAGAAAAATGCAAATAACGAAAAGGGAAAATTGGTAAACTTCAATACTTTATGCGAAATGGTAATTATCTCAAATACCAGTTTTATAAAAGTTTAAAATGGAAAATTTGACTGGTGGCACCAAATTTGAGAAAAAATTATAAGAGTTATTTTTGTCATTTCAATCTATTTTTCCATCAATATTTTACCTTCAACCAAACATACATTCAGAAAATTTAATCCAATTTTCCTGGTAATATTTTGACCAACCAAACAACTTTTTTTTAATTTTTCTACCAAACTCACTTTCCCACCATATTTCTATTAATTATATTTCCCTAGTAAAAAAAAATTCTCCTCTACCAAACATCCCCTCAGAATCTCAATCACATGAAATTACGTCGATTACTAAATTTACATAACAGAACTCAAACCCAAAACAGTAAACAGGCAAACATATACAAAAATGCATACCTCAGCCGGTGCCGGGATGATAGATTCCCTGTAAAATCAAAAAGGGGGGGAAATTTTCAATTTACTGCATCTACATATAATTAGACAGTTCATAACAAGTCTAAAGTATACTGACGTTACCTTGGCCTCTCGGACTTTGCAAGATGTTTAGACATTATTGATGCCTGCAATAAAACACATTTTCGAATTATTCTCTGACCTAAATTTGAAATGCATTGTCAAAATAACACACAGCAGTTAGATTGAAAAGCATTATTAAGAAAAAGAACTTGGATTTGTTGAAAGAGAGAACTGTTTGAATGGAGATACAGGTTTAGATTGAACCAATAAATAAATAAAAATGAAAATGCATGGGTCCGTAAGTATATTTATTTACCCATGTACTTTCGTATTCAATAGAAGCCACATAGGTTAAAAAAATAATATATGATTTAAACTAATAGTCATACAGGTATTGTTAAAGTCATAGACTTGCTTGCCCAGGAAGACAAGAGCAACACTGCAACATTTAGTCATAACGTAAAATTGAAAAATCAGGTTAGAGTACCTGGACAGGAATTTCAGTCAGCGTAGGATAGATAAAAAAACTCAAGACAGTAGTGCTGCCATTCTTTTCTATTTTTCCTCCATTTCCTGGGTAAGTGCCTACTCTACCTTGCTGATAAAAATTTGCTTTTGCTTCCTAAGAAAAGTACCAATTTCTTGCTTTTCTTTAGCAGCAGTTTTTCTTTTCATATTTCTGCTGTTAATTTAAACCACTTTTGTACTTTGGCCAAACACCATGAAACATGAAAAGAAGAGCTATTCTAACTAAAAAGCAGCTTTTGCAATTTCACATCACAGTCAACAGGCTCTAAATCCCTTTAACCTAACTTGTGATTATAATTGCAAGAGCAGAAAATACTACCTGCTCCTGTATAATGCTCCTTGCTTCAACAAGTTGAGCTTCAAGCTCAAGTTCCCTCTCAGTAGCTTCTGAAGTAACTTCTGCTCCTTTCTGAGCATCTTGCAATTGAACCATGCGCTCCTTCATATTTCAGCTTTCAAGCCATTAGCAACCAAATACGAATGATTTATATGCAAATACTTTGGAGATGAAAACTGGAAAGTGATAATGATATGTTAATACCTTTATGGAAGCCATCTTGGTTCGAAGACTTTCTTCTATTTGATCTCTGGCCATGTGAAAAGGAAGGTCAAAGACATCCTGCAGGTAACAAACTCATCAATTTCATAAGGCAGTTTGACACTAGGAACAAAGTATGAAACATTAATAAGCTTCCATACCGTTCTCCCAACCAATGGAGATTGTGAAGGATCACTTTCAACTCTTTCATTGGCAGCGGGAGATTGCTTTGATAGCCCAGTAGGAGCATTTAAGAAATCACGCATATCCACCTGTAAAGAGTACATTCACAAATGACAAATATCGTAATCTAGGTGAAGGACCTTGCCTTAGATGGAGGGGCATAACAGAATAATGGCCTTTAGATAGATACAAATCAGAAAAATGGATGAAAAACAAGAAACAGATATGCTAGGCCCACCAATCCAACCAAAATGACTACTGAATTAATGTTCTTCATTTCTCCCACTCCCCAATTAGTTACTATGACCTTCCATCAGTTTACATTTTGCATCACTGAAATAATTAATTCCCAGAACATGTCAAAAAATTTATGTTGTTGACTTTATGGCCAAAATCAGTCCCAATGCATGGAAGTTTTAAGAATGACAAAGTTACTGGAATGAAAGTGGCAAACCCATTCATGCACAGGCATGTGCACACACACAAAGATATTCACATGGGGAGAAAGAGAATTAGAGAGAGAGAGACCTTTTAAAAAATTGAAGGCAAGATGAAAGATTAAAAAAGCAGCATACACTGAATGATAACAAAGCAAAAGTTGATGGAAGATCCAAAATCACATTAAGTAGAATACATGAAAAAAGA